ATCTACTTTAACTTGAAAAATTTCACAAAAATTCATGCCAAATATTATAGAATGAGATATTGTAGGAACTACTACAGCGGGTACTATTTTATAAATATTATTAATTAAAATTGGTAAGTCAACTTTACCTGAAACAAACTGAGAATTTCCATCTGCTGTGGAAATATTTTTTATTTCACAATTACTATCAATTAAAATCCCTAATTTTTCTAAAAGTTTAATACCTTGACTCCCAACTGCTGAAATATTAGCACCGCTATCAAGTAAAGCTACGATAGGCATTTCCAACAACTTTACTTGTATGTAAGGTCGATTATCCTTTTCTTTTTTTATACATAAAGGTGAAATTTCATTATTATTAAATTTACTTTTATAAAAATCCCTTACTTTAATTTTCCACATATCCCAATCTTGTTGATCAAAAAATGAAACTATGTTTTTACTAGATTTGTTTGCAGTTACAGGTTTACTAGAATTAAATGAATTTATAAATTTACTAGAATTAAATGAAACTACTGGTTTACTAAAATGACTAAAATTAAATTTATTGTTGGCTTTGAACTTAAAACTTTGAAGTGCTCGAGAGCCAACTGCTGGAACACCTACTTTACGTTTTTTGAACAAACAGGGCATTCTTTAATAGTCACATTTTCCTTACCACATTTATAACAAAATTTGCCTTGGGCAGGAGCCCTACAATTTACATGAGTGTGATTAGGCATATTACACTTCCAACAAATTATATTTTTAGATTTATTCGAAAAAGATCCACTATATTTATTTTTACCTCTATAGTTATTTTTTCCAAAATTATCACCTTGAAATTGGGGTTTATTATTTTTACTAGTGGTGGCAGTTTGTGAAGGACCTAAGGAAGAAGATTCAGATACATATGCTAATTCTGATTCTAGAAAATAATTATCAGACTTACTACTTGAACATAAACTCCAAATATCTGCCTCCTCTAGTTTTTTACATAAAGAACTTATTTCTTCTACCAATTGTATTTCATGTAGTGCTAATCTTTTTCTATATTCAGGCTGAAGGCCATTCCTAATATGTTTGACTTTAGTTGATTCACACGGTTTACGAGATAGTCTGGAAAACAATGTTTCCATACATGCAATATACAACACTACAGGTTCATTTCTGGCTTGAAAACGTTTCTTAATGGTTTCCCAAAGATCATCATCGATATCAGACTTTAAAAAATCTTGCTTTAATTTATTCACTAAACTATCCCAATCGTTAACTAAAGTTTTAACCTGTCTAAACCAAAATTTAGCTTTTTGTGAGAACAAATCACTAGCTGATTCAAATAACTGTTGTTTTGATATATCCCTAGAGTGAGCCATCTCTTCTACATTTTCTATAAATGATAATAAATTTTTTGGATTACCATTAAAGCTAAGTCCTATCTTGTAAACTGGTACATGTTTATACTGTGGTGAATGAAACATTGTGGAATTAATATGACTTTGTGTAGGATTTACCTGTGTTGAATTTAACATGACATTACTATTAACATTTGGTTCTACATTAGTAACCTTTTCTTGGAGATCTGCCTCCATAACTAAAATTGTAGCAAGAGATTCATTCTTAAATTCTGTTTTAGTTAAACTGTCTGAGTCATTGGCATCAATTTTTAAACGTTTTATCCTATTTACAAGATGGGCTAACCTAGACTCTATTCTCTTATAAACTGAATCTGTATTTGGACCTTCAAAATCATTTATTAAAGTTTCTATTGAACTAATAGTTGTTTCTATATCAACTTTTTCATTATCAAAATCAAAATCAGGATCTTCCAAAGTCAAAATATCAGAACCTTGTTTCCTTTCTTTATCAAAAAGTCTAGCAAGAGCCTTACGTTTATCAGCAACAGGCCTATTTGTAACAATACCCCTCAATTTTAACTCATAGTCTAACTCTGTGGACAATAAATGTACTGGTTTGCAAAGCGGATCCATTTTAGATGTACTGACAAAATTAAATTACTAAAAACTATTCAAGGTCTAAAATTACTATTAATTTATCTCAAAGTTTAAAACCGATACTATAAATTATGGCAAGGACTCAAAAATACTCAATATTTACCAATATACAAATACTTCTGCATATATTTGTAACTCAAAATACTCATAAATTTGAACTCAAAAACTTTTATCAAAACCTTCAACTTAATTCCCAAATATTTGTACTAAAATTCTCAGAAATTTTATCAAAATTTACCAAAATAAGTTTCATCAAACCTCATACTTCATTCACTTTAACTCCCAGTGTACTGATCACCAGCAAAAAAAAATTTATTTAAAATTATGATATCAAATACCTTCAACCTCCTCTTGCAAAAAATGTAAATAATTTTCAAACCTCTGTGTTTAAATTTGGTCTGCAATTTTGGTTAATGACTATTTTATAAATTCAAAGAAGAGACTCTAAAAATTTCTCAGGCCCCACGGACAAGGGTGCCATTTTAATATGTAGCAATATTTTAGAATTAATGATGGAAAGTCAGCAACTGATCTGTTTGCTACATATGCTAGCGGCAGCTGTTCATCGGTGAGCAATGGTCGTAGATACTGTTGCTTTAGTTTACAAAAAAATGTTAAAATTAAAAGTGAAATTTGAATTTAAATTTAATGTGTGGAAATTGAATTATAAAATAGTCGTGCCCAGAGCGCCACTTTATTTATACAGTTAAGTAATACTTCACCAAACAAAGAAAAATGAAGACTGCGATTAAATGATTTAACTCTTACTTACCAAAAAAAACTAATATTACCAAAATTGCAAAATTGTAGACTCCAAAATCAAAACACAGATTCAACTAACAAAAGATTGTTTTATTTTATTTTAATTAAATAGAAATTTAACAAATGATTGAAAAATAGCAAATATTTAATTGAGCCGTAAGTTAAGTACATAAAAAAATAATAGTCAATATGACATTGCAAAGTGACCTTTAGATTGAAAGTTTAAAAAAATAACATTTTATAAATGTACTTAGTAATTGGAAAATTATATTAATATTTAAACAATTAAATATATATACCTAACTATGTGAGTTAGTGGTATAGTATTAAAAAAATTATAACTCATTACTTTGATTATTGAAAAAAAAATTATATTATACCTAGTACCTTTTATAGCTATAAGGGTTTACACTTTATTGAAATATTTTATTAAAAATACTTAAAGAAAAAATATTTAAGTCACTATTTGCGGTATATCATAAAACAAAATAACTTTTTGTAAGATATTATCTTTTAAAAAAAATAAAAAATTGCAAAAAAAAACCTGTTCTCAAGCCTACTATTCCCAAAGCAGCTTAGGTGGTAGGGGTTGATTTGGAGAAGTTTGAAGGAGTCCTGGAGGCAATTTAAAGTTGGAGCAGAGAACAATGGCTCGAACACGAACACATGGCCATGCTTTCAGGAAGCAAAAATCGAGAAGTCTTCTTGGGATTGAAGTGATGTTAGTGGTAACTAACTGATTTTTCCACAGCCCTATTATCGCCGACAAATTGGAGGCATCAGGGACTGTAACTGGTGGTTGGACCCACGTGTGGTTGCACAGGATTCAGGAGCAGAATAAGTTACCCCGAAAATGGTAATTCCTCGAAAAGGAATAGGCTTCCAGCTAGTCCCCTCTCGAAATTTAGGGGACACAAGGCAACTAAACTCGACAAAAATGCAAAAGCCTTTTCATTTCGGCCATGGCTTAATATAAAGCCAAAAATTTTACAAAAAATAGGAAGTGATGATTTGATGACTAATGTCAGAGACAAACAGAAGACCAATCTCATAGAGAAAAATTCCCTAGGTTAATTAACAGTCTATGGTAAATTTGGGCCTTAGAACAACGACTTTCTTGAAAAACCGCCTAAATTATAAGCAGACAATCATAGATTCTCGAACAGTGAGACGACCTTACTCGAAGCAATAAACCGAAGACAACAGGTGTTTAACTTCAGATCGATACATTTGTTGACATTTTTCACAAAGTCAAAACAGCTGGCCGAGAAGAATAAAACAATTTAACTTTTCGTTGAAAATTAATAATTATGTACACCTTCTACAAAATAGAGAGGCAGAAAGGTAAGTCATTTATTACATGATATTCGACATTACATAATTAACATTAACTTTATTTTCAGATTGGTGAAGATGGATTATATTTTGTTACTAAAAATCAAATTTCAACTACCAGAACCCAGAAACTAGAAGTTTAATCTATAAAATTAAATATATACTTCCATCCATATCTGTACACTAGTTATTTAAATGAATAAAGTATGTTCATGACTACTTAATATTTATTGTGTTTATAGTAAAAACCAGGTAAGCAATTTTTAACTGCTACAAACAAATCTAAAATCCACACTGCCGCAAACATGAAAGTGTCACTTTTGCGATGTCTACGTCGCAGTGTAACTTAATCACAACTATGCCACAAACACGCAATTGGTCAATATGAGATGCACGCATTGCAAATGAACAATATATACTGACTTTCGTGAAAGTGCATATCTCCTTCCCACCGTCTTCTAGCTTTTGATCACATTAGTGGTCGTGGAAAAGTATAGGAATGACTAAAACGAAAACTTTGCACATGCGTGGGTGTGGCATTCCATCGACGATGTCTTGGGAACAAGCACTCTACGCTGGTGTACCGATTATTTATAATTCCATGACAAGAGGTGGACAAATTTAAAAATATTTGCCGTTTTTATAGTAAATTATATATAGCTTAAATGATGGTTTGATATTATGGAAAAATCCAACTATATTTATGCAAGGAAAAGCAATTGCTGCCGTGAGACTACCATTCATTAGTTGAAAGTACATAACCCATTTTTCCTATAATCTATGTTTACGCATAAACTCTTTATTGAGAACGACAAATTATAAATATCATGTACTGTCATTTGTAATTTGGAAAAAAAACTGGGTTGCCGAATTTATATTCAACCAACTCATATACTATTTTGTTTTCAGAAGAAATATTGGGTACGAATTCTGCCATATGGATGTCCAGAGATGGCATGTTAATGGTTTTTGCATCTTTTAACGATAGTCTGGTTGAGGAGTTGCGGTTTCCCTGGTACGGATCTATAAAAGATGGACGTCTGTATCCAGATATTCGATCGTTAAGGTATCCTAAACCTGGTACCAGAAATCCCCAAGTAGTACTTACGGTTGCTGATCTTGCGGATACCTCGAATATTAAGATGAAACCAGTGTTACCCCCAAACGTCATTGCACGGAAGTAAGTCTTGTTTTAGCTTTTGTTTTTATCATTTTTTTTTTAATATTGTTACATTAGAACCCAAATTTAGAAAGCAAATATTTTAAACAATTCCAAAAATTGTGTTTTTTATGTAGATAAATTAGAAGCAATAATTAGATTCCTAATAAAACTAACTGAAGACCATTCAAATTCATAAAAGGTGAAAGATCGTACGACCCATGAGATCATAATATTATTATCCCACAAGAGACGAATACATATCCCTCAAATCGCTCAAAAGGAATTTCCTATTTGGCTTGAGCTGTATGTCACGTCTTTGCCTATTAAAATGTCACGTCCGTGGTGTTCATATTATGCAATTTTGGTCAAACAGGTTAGCAATGTTAGATTGTTGACAATGCCAAAAATCTACTTCAGTGAAGATAACTTGGACAAGGAAAGCTAATAAGGAAGTACTAAGGAGTTTCACAAAGACAGATACTTACTAAACACTGCTAAATACAAGAAAATATCTGGGACGCAATATAAGGGCAAACCAATATAGAATACTACCTACTTCTTAAAGGCGAAGTGAAAGGTTGACAAAGTGTAGAATGTAAACAAACCAGTAAAAACAAATACCAAATGCTAGACAATTATTCCATATGGCAGTAGATCATGATGTCGTATTTATGGTGATCGTCAATATCGGATAATTCTGATATGGCACGTGAAGAAGAAGATCGTGAGTACAAGATATCACGATGATTACAACACTAAAGGGTTAAGACTAAATAATCATATATTTTATAATTTCTTGTTGGAAAATAAATGGTTATATTATAAAAAAATACATTTAATAATTAACAACAATGTTAAATTTTTTCCTCCTTATTTGATTTTTATGAACTAATCATAATGCTTACAACTAATTATTTTCCTTTGATTTTTAGCGACCACTACTTTACTGCGGTGTCCTGGATCAGCTCTACAGAAATTAGTGTAGTATGGCTTAACCGCCCACAAAATTTATCTGTGATAACTATATGTTCAAGTCCAAAATGGGACTGCAGAGAAGTAAGTACAAATGTTTTGAAATCTTCTTTCCTACATTCTGCAACAAGTTATTCCGTTTAAATAAATATAACATATTATTGGGTTAATTATATATGGATTTATATTTTAACAAGTTGACCTAGCCTACCTTGTAGCGAAATTCGCGTTTATGATTAAAAAAATGAATATTCCTGTTTTAAAATAGCCTTCAAGCAGTCCTGATCTAACCCCTAGCGACACTTTTTGGCGTCAGTTGAAAAAAGCCCTTTCAACTACATCGGTGCGTACAATTCCTGAATTAAAGAGAAATTTGGAAAGTTTGACACCACATAAACTGAAAATTTTGAGCCTATACATCGAGAGTTTGCTTGGAATATATTGTATTTAAAGGCAATTCCTCAAAAAACTAGAAAGTATTTCATTGTATATTACACATTTCGAAGGGTTATGTGCCGATTTACACTTTTCTACGAATTTGCCAAAAAATATTCGAACGGCGGCCGTCTTATCTAGTCTCCTACATTCTTTCCGATCAACTTTATGATCAAATTTAAGATGACACCGGAATCGTAATGTAGATGTTACCATAGTCTAAATATTTTAAAACCTTCATTATTAGTTTGCTATATATCCTCTGTATTTAGTAGGTAATGGGCTTTATATATCCCTGCCTAATGTAAAAGGCCTATAAGAGCTCTCCATTGAAAAATTGCTTGCTATAGTTTCAATATATTTGTTAGAGTTTTCCACAATTGCATTAATTATGTCCTTATCAACGATGTTTGGCAAAACCAATAGAACAAAAGCAACACTTAAACTGATATTATAAATAATATCGTCCTTCCTTCCCTGAAACTTCTGGTCTTCAAAGGGACAACATCAAGTCCTAATAATACGTCTCAGATTAGGACAAACTACAATAAAACATGAACATTTGTTAAAAAGGGAATGGAAACAAGTATGTTTTGTTTGTGAATGTATAGTGACAGTGAAGCACATTTTGATCGACTGTCCAATATACTCAGTTGAAAGACTATATCACCACCTTCCAAAAACCTTAAAAGAACATTTAACACTACACGGTAATAATTAAAATATATATCGTACACCTTATTATGTAATTGATTTAGTCCATATGTTTGTGTATGTGTATTTTGCATATGTTTTCTTTACCACTTTTTGTATTTTGTTATGCTAATTCTATTTGCTCTAAATTCTTTTCTTATTTACTTTCACAATCTTCGGTCCTCTTATCAATAGCTTCATTATTTACTCCATTCTCGTCGTCATCATCGCCATATTCCATATCAAGCGTTTCTTCTTTTATGAGGTCTTGAAGTCTCCTTTGTTCCTTTTCATAGTCCATTCTGAAAATAAAGTGAAACAAATTAAATGTAAAAGTTTGCTGTAGCTTAAAATTTTGAAAAATAAATCTTTGATGCTCAATAAAAGAAAAGTGAAAATCATGTATCGTAATAGTAATTTATTGCAATAGTTATTTATGTACCAATGGTTTAAATAGATATTTAGGCCTAGAGGGCGACATGTTACAAACCCGAGGGCATTAGGCCCGAGGGTTTGTAAGTCGCTCGAGGGTATATACATCTGTTAGTACCCGCGGTGCATACAAACTTTTATATTATACTAGTTCGTTATTGCATCTACAAATAAATGTGTTCTAAAAAATCCGAAAATTCGATTTCATTTTGAAAAATATATTTACTAGTAGACATTCTATCGTTCATGTCAAACAAAAACCGTGAAAATGCTAGATATTTTTGAGTTCCTTAACTAAATTAAAAAAAAAACCGGAAAAAGCAACGAAAAAGTTACTACTACATAAGTCGAGAGATGCCTACGACAAGAAATATTAAAAATTACAGCACTTGATGACAGCAAACCATGTCGCACCTTAAAACCAAAAGTGACACTATACTGAAAACATCAATTTTTTAGTTATATCACAGAATAATAAACAATTGTTTATTATTCTGTGGTTATAGCGACATCTGTATTACTTTTGTCTAAACGATCCTATTGCAGAGACTCCTGTTCTAATAGCTTTCGTAATTTTTCCTAGAAGTCGCTAGTCTCACTCTTGACTTTTAGGTGTTTTGTCAAAGTGGCAGTTTAGAAAGTGGCACTATAGCAGTTACCGTCCAGAAGCACGTCATGGTAAGTACAAAGTGACATTTTTTCTTTAGTGTTGTTTTTTACGAAAATCATGTACAGTTATTCTGTCTAGTTAATGAATGAAAAACTGCTATTTTAAGTATAGTGTCGGTTTTTGAATAATCTAAAAGACTAAGTTGTTACATCAATAGATTAAATAATAGCATTTTTTGGTAAGTGCCATTTTAAGTAGTGAAATAAGATTATACTGTTTTTTGTAACTCGATAAATGTCAAATTTAGTTTAATGTCAATATTTTGGTAAAAATAATAGGACAATCATGATGTACCTATTTTAATAAATAAAAGACATTTGCAGTTTCTCGTGTGTAGTAGTTTTATAATAATGTAAAATAAATAACTTTGATTATTTCTTAAAAAAGTACATAATTTTAATGTTGACTACACTATCAAAATATTTCTAACTGCATCGAGTTTTTTGTTTAAAAGGTTATAGTTATGGACAATTCACACAGTAAAAGTAAAAGAATATTACAACTAGTAGCTCAAAATAGACGTAGTCAAAATCCAGTGTCTGAAAAAATGAAAGAAAAATACCGAAGTTTAGTTTTTACAAACCATTTTATTATTGGGATGTACATACATGCTATCCTAAATTTAAAAATAAAATCTATTACCCATAAATTTTTAATACGTGGGAGACACTGTACATTCTTTGATTGAAAAACAAGTCAAAAGATGTCAGATGACTAATATACGTACCTTCGCAATATGTTTGTGCTATTTGAAGTGCAAAAAAAGAGGGACACCTTTCGTTAATAAAATGAGCTATGGCGATTTCTTCGATATAAAACAATTATTGGTTCCGAGGCTGAATACGAGCGTAAATGGCCAAGTTGTAAAACTGCCTGATTTAAAAGTCATCAAAATTGCGAAAAACGAACATGAAGAGATAAAAGTAAGCTACAAAACACCTTACTTTGATGATTTTAAAGAGCTAATAAAAAACCAATAGAAATAGTAGTCCTTCAGAAATCAATGTTTAAATTCCCAATTATTACAAATCCTATTATGAAAGTATGTTTTGATATTTAAGTTTTTTAATTATTTTAATTTCGAAAAAATGTTAAGTTACATTAAGTATTATTAATAGTTTGTTTACTTTTACCAAATAAACGATTTTTTTTAATATAACATAATTTCCTTTTATTTTTCTCTTTTTTATCATAAAGTAAATATTAACTTAATTAGTAAAATTAACCTAAGTAATAATCAGAACTTTTATGTAAAACAAAAGTGGCACTATAAGGAATTTTTTTAAAATTATTTTCTAAATTAGTCGTTACATTATTAACTATAGTATTTAGTTCGGTTATTTTAGTTCAACATCCATTACAATACTTTATTATCTGATGAAATACCTAGATTTTAGGATGTCACTTTTGTTTTCAAGGTGCGATGTGTAAAACTGTGCTCCTTTATACTTTACCGATCTCGCCGAAACATTTTCTCCGAGTTCTTCTTCTTCTTTGGGTGCCATGTCCGTATTCAGACGTTGGCCGTCATCATGTTTACAATTTCCTGAAACCTTTCTCTGTCGGCTGCTGCCCGAAATAATTATTCTACTGTGAAACCACACCATTGTCTAATATTACGCAGCCATGAAAGTTTCTTTCGACCAATCCATCTATTTCCTTCCACTTTTCGATTTCCCTATAATAGTCCAAATATTCAATGGTAAAGAAGACTTTAATCGTAAATAAGAATATTAACATTGCCAACTACCATAATTTTACCGAATATTTGAAGCAAGGCTCGAAAGGCTGCCAGCCAAAAAAGAGTCTTGTCTAGAGAAAATGTTTAAAAATTTATTCACGAAGCACCGAACGAAATATTTTTAATGAAAAAAGTAGCATTCATATTTGGTGTATTTGGTGGGTGTCGACGACAAGAACTTTGGTTATTCACATAAAAGATAGAAAATCAGTTTCCTTCGTAAACGTATACTCCATTCGCTTGGGCATATTTTCACAGCTTCGTTGTCGGAAACCTACAACACAACAATTCCTACTTCTCAGTATTAATAGCTCAAGTATACTACTATTGCAGACTTCTTTCTTAAAAAAAGAAGAATTATTCTAAATTGTGGAAGTGCATACTAAACCCATCAAATGTTGGGTAGTTTATATTTAAAAAATATATTTTAGTTGTTATAATTTAACATAACTATTTATTATATGGTGCAGATAAATAAATATTGATTGTAATGCGCAAAATTCTATTTTATTTACTATTTAGTTTGTATACTGTTAATATTGACTATGAGTACGTATGCTTGGTTGTATAGTAATTTCCAGCCATGTTTAGTCTGTCAAAAAGTAACTAACTTCGCAAAAAAATAATTACTAATTTCACTAAACAGTTCGGACTGGGAATCTCGAACCGAGTATACCAGCGACAAAACCGATAAACGGCGTGTTTTACAATTATTGACGAAGATGAACTAAAAAGGTTGAAGTTATTACGGGATTACATGATTTAACTACCTCGTGGTTCTTCAGAAAAAAGTCACTTTTGGACCAACAGACAAGGTCGTTGTACTGTACAGCCAGTTGGAAAGAACGCATTTGAAAAAATCCCGTTCACCATTGCAAAATATCTGGGTTTAATACAGAATATTTTAATTTAAGTACCTAGTTTAATTAGAAATAAAATTTAACTTAATAAATGAGTACACAAGTCATTGCGTGCGTCGGACTTCGGCAACTTTTCTGGCAGAAGCTAGAGCCAATATGACCACGTTGAAGCGCCATGGTCGATGGAAGAGTACATCTACGTAATACGTAGTTGGTAACTAAGCACTAAAAACACAATAATAAACTAGTATGA